ATACAAATTTAATAATATTCAAACCTTTGACATAGTATTGAATAAACAAACGATCGTTTGGTGTAGGGGAAAAATGCAAATCTGTGAACTGCAAATATAATATGTTTAGGTGAATGAAATGAAAACAGGTGTTACTTCATTGTTTTTAATCATAAATATATATAATTTATATTGTAGGGATTCCTACTCATAGAAGTTCAAGGTAAGTACACTAATCATATATTAAAAACTTATTTTATATACAAAAAAAAAAATGAATAATTTTCTTAATACCTTTGAAGTTAGCTAAGTATTAAGAGGTCAAATATTAAATATATCATAACTAAGCCAAAAATGCATTAATTTCAGTTTTTATTAGGGTAACAAATCTGCATACTCAATTTAAAAATTAAAAAAATTCAAATTTTCGTCAATTTTTCACCATTTTAACGATACCCCTCATAAAAATTTAAAATTGTCAAAAAATTTAAAAAAAATTAATTTATGCCGGACCTGGCTAGATCGATTCGGCTGTTGATGCTGATCAAGAATATATATGAATAATAGGATCGGAAATGACTCCTTCCCTAAGTTTCAAGCTTTCGACTGAAAGATAGGCTTTGCTTAATTATTTGGTACATAGAGCGCTCTCCTCTGCGATTCTCAAGTCTTACACTTAAGCAAGGCCAGCTAGGGGAAGTTTAGTTTTCTTCTTCTTCTTTTATATAAATTACTAATTTAGTGCTTGGTGGTTGATAGACTTTGATCAAGTGGATGTGGCAACCATGGCTAGATCGAGTCGGCTGTTGATGCTGATCAAGAATATATATGAATAATAGGATCGGAAATGACTCCTTCACTAAGTTTCAAGCTTTCGACTGAAAGATAGGCTTTGCTTAATTATTTGGTACATAGAGCGCTCTCCTCTGCGATTCTCAAGTCTTATACTTAAGCAAGGCCCTAGCTAGAGGAAGTTTAGTTTTCTTCTTCTTTTTGTTTGTTTTTTATATAAATTAATAATCTAGTGCTTGGTGGTTGATAGACTTTGATCAAGTGGATGTGGCAATCATAAAAATTATAGTTTTCTTAATTAAGGTAAGACGTTAATAAAATAACTTTTGATAATTGAAATCAAAACAAGGCCCAAAAAAGTCAAGATACATGAAAATATGGTTTATATTAAATTATTGTTGATTTACCATACCCTTGGCCATGTTGACTAGCTTATTAATGATCTCGAAAAGTCTTCCAAGCTCTCTTTAAGAGCCGTGATGATCATGACGAGCGGGGATATGGTGTCATTTATTTGTTTATAGTATACTTAACTCTCGAAAATAGTTTATTCAGCACAACTTACTAAACAAAGAACACAACAATGGTGATAATCGAAACTGCTCAATATAAAATATATATAAAAATAAGTTTATCTATATTTGTAAAGCAAATTTTTAAGAATTGGTATGCTTTTAAATAACAGAAAGTTAACATATTTCAAGCAATGCTTGTATATAATTTTTGCAAAAGTAATTCTTCACACAAAAACCCGCTAAAAAATAAGGATTTTATGCTTGCTAATATAAGCCTATTTAGGATTTTTTTCCTTGTTTGTTTCCTTTTCTTTTTTTATACCCTTGCAGGGTATTATAATTTCAGTCAGAAGTTTGCAACGCAGTGAAGGATCAGGATCAACAGCCGAGTCGATCTAGCCATACCCGTCTATCCGTCTGTCCGTCTGTCCGTCTGTCCTTCTGTCCGTCTGTCCGTTTCTACGCAAACTAGTCTCTCAGTTTTGAAGCTATCTGAATGAAACTTTGTAGTTAGCCTTCTATATACTCTCACTCGTATATATGTCGGAACGGACGACTATTTCATATAGCTGCCATTGGAATGACCGGAAAATTTTTACAAAAAAAATTATAACTTTTCAGTTTTCAACAGATTTTGATCAAGTTTGAGGTATAGCCATTTTATATTAGTCTTAAATTTTGTGTAAAATTTCATGAAAATCGGACGACTGTGCCATACAAACGATCGTTTGATGTAGAGGAAAAATGCAAATCTGTGAACTGCAAATATAAATATGTTTAGGTGAATGAAATGAAAACAGGTGTTACTTCATTGTTTTTAATCATAAATATATATAATTTATATTGTTGGGATTCCTAGTCATAGAAGTTCTATCTGCAAGGGTATATGAACTTCGGCGAGCCGAAGTTAACTTCCTTTCTTGTTATATGACAATTTGATTAACAAATCCAAGTTTAAAAATTGCATAACACAGCCAAAAAAGCATTAATTTTAAATCGGAAAGTTGTTCTATGCAAGTTTTTATTAGGTTTATAAGTCTGCATACTCAAATTACAATTTTTAAAAATCCAATTTTTTGCCAATTTTTGGCAATTTTAATGATGTTACCCCTTATAAAATTTTCAATTTTTAGAAAATTTTCAATAAAAATAGATTTTGACCAGACATGTCTAGATCGACTCAGCTTTTGATGCTGATCAAGAATATATATGATTTATAGGGTCGAAAATGACTCCTTCACTGAAAAACAAGCTTCTGACTAAGCTATAATACCATTTTTTAATCGGTATTATTTATATTTTTATATGACAATTTGTTTACCAAATCCAAGTTTAAAAATTGCATAACACAACCAAAAAAGCATTAATTTTAAATCGGAAAGTTGTTCTATGCAAGTTTTTATTAGGTTTATAAATCTGCATACTCAAATTACAATTTTAAATAATCCAAATTTTTGTCAATTTTTGACAATTTTAATGATGATGATTTATAAAATTTTCAATTTTTAGAAAATTTTCAAGAAAAATAGATTTTGACCAGACATGTCTAGATCGACTCAGCTTTTGATGCTGATCAAGAATATATATGATTTATAGGGTCGGAAATGACTCCTTCACATATTTTTAAGCTTCTGACTGGAATTATAATAGCCTGCAAGGGTAACATTAATAATAAGTGAAATCTATTTTTGCTTAAAATAACAAATGTTTCTTGTTTTTCCTTTTATTCAAAAAACGTATGGCTACGTAAGTCAGATATACCCTCGGGTTGGCTGATACCGCGTTCAACAAATAAATAAATAATTTCTTTTAGGCCTTATAGAGTGGGCAGACACACAATCTGTCTGTTTAGAGCCAAACTATCATTATTTACGGAATTAAAATGTCCAAAACTCCAAACAGATGCGACGTTTCGATGTTCAACTTTGATCTTTGGGTCTTTGCATAAAACTTACGATCCCTTACGATTAATTATCTCGAGGAAAGCATAATTCGATTAGGAATTTAGACACAAGTTATTTAGGAGATAGTTTCTGTTTGGGAATCCTTTCGAGCGGAGTTCACGCTCCCAGGCAGCAGCAACCGAAGGCGAGCTGGAGACCAGAGACCGGTCAGGTTGCAACAATTAGCCGCCTGATTTATCTATCTGGAGCACAGTGCTGGCTGGCTGGCTGGCAACGAATGTCTCCTCGGAGTGGCCGGGCTCCGCTTACATTTGATTTGATTTGATGTGATGTGATGTGAGCGCCTACGAGCGAATGTGCTGCCAGTTTACTGCGGTGCAGCAGTAATAGTGCAGCAGCAGCAACAGCAGCAACAGTTGCTGTTGCTGTTGTGTTGCAAACGCATAATCGTAAAATTTGCAGTGGAATGTTGCAATATTTTTCGCGAGTCGCGAGCAATTTGCGCGTGAATTATTCCAAACGTTGCATTACAAATGATTTCAGCAGCGACCACAAACGACCAGGGTCTTTAATTGGCTCACAGCAACGAGGAAGTCATTGGCCTGCTGGACCTGGACCTGCTGCAGCAGCTCCACTCCTCCCACTCCTCTATGGTCCCTTTGCGTTGCGAACGTGATGCGGACAAAAGTTTCGGCTTTGCCCATAAAATCATATTCCACTTGGAGTCGTTTCCATGAATGTCACACTTGAGCTGCAGCTGAAGATGGGAAGCTGGCACAGCCGGGCGGGGCATGGTCTGGACCCGGGCCTGGGTCTGGGTCTGGGTGTGGGTCTTGGTCTGGGTCTTGCTGTGGGTGCTGCAGCGACGACTCTATTAACGAGTCGAGTGCGTGAAACTTTTTGCAGGCTTCCATTTAATTTCCATGGCCGTTGGCTTGTTGGGTCCGGGTTTTGTTGTTGCTGCTGCTGCTGCTCCTCCTCCGGCTGCTGTGGTTTGTTGTCGCTCCGCGCCTGGAGTCGTCAAAGTTGCGGCCGTTGTCGTCTGCATCGCTGCTGCCATGTAGGTAATTCCTGGAAGTTAATTTCATTAAGAGCAACTAGCAATGCGCGGCGTATTTATTAGCCACACGATATATTGTATGGGCCATGGCTTTGTTTTTCAAGGAATCTGCCGCCTGTCCGGGCCAACTGGCTGTTCCATGCATTTGTGGAATTCATCATCAGCGGCGGCGGCGACATGGCAGCCGGCGGCAACAGTTGCTCTGGCATTTCCCCAGAGCAACTGCTGTTGCAATTTTCATAACTTATTGCAGGCATGCAAGGCAAAGCAAAGCCAAAGCACATCATAGCACAGCATAGAGCAGGGCAAAGAGAGATCCCGGATCCAGTCGCGCTTTTTGCCACTAAATATGGCGCGAAATTTCCTTAAGAAAATGAAGAAATACGCGCAAGTGCGATTTCCAGTTAATAAAATTAAAGAGCCCAGCCCCGAACCTAGGCTAGGATTTATAAATAACGCACATTCAACGGCGGACCTGTAAAATTCTTATTAATTCTGATTGCAAGGCAGGGATTTCTGCACCGAGTACTTACTTCGCCGCAGAGGGAGCGACAGGCAGGCAGGCTTGTTGTCATTGCGCCTCCATTTGGTCACAGTCATTCCAACAAGTGTTGTACACGCATTCCAGATGCTTTTCCATCATTAGCTGCCGCTGTCGCTGTCGTTCCTTGATCCGATCCGGACAAACACCTGCTGCAAGTGGAGTGCATCGAATGCCGTTTGGGGAAAAACATCTAAAGCAACTGATCGTCTGTGGCAATTCCCTGCAATTGGGCTTTATTCGAACACGGATAACATTCAGGCTTAACGCTGGGCAATCTCCAGAACAATTTCCATCGAAACAAGGCTTACAATGTTTACAAAACAATTCAAACAGACATTATAAACTATCGAAGAGATTCATGTGATGATTTGGTTCTAGAAAAATATGCAATAGACGCCGATCAGCAATATGATGACGAAAAGGATGAACAGCTTTGACTTGATGCGGTACTTCTGCTCCAGGCTGTTCACCCAGCGGCCAAAGGCCACCGAAACGCTGTTCTCATCCGGGCGCAGAGAGCGCCTGGGTAGCGGCTCGTAGCTCACACTTCCAGTGGCCACAGTGCGTCGACTGTAGGGACTGCTGCGATCTCCGATCCTCTCAGCTCTCAAACGCGCCAGATTCCGGGTAAAGTCGCTCTCGTACTGGGCATCCTCCACTTCGTTTTCATCGCTCAGCTCGTTGGCATAGGTGCGTGTATAGCTCGATCCCGAGGCAGCCTCGGCCGTAACATAGCTTTGGGCGGGCGAACGCACATAGCTGCTGTAGCGTCCAGAGCGGACGCTCTGGTAATCGTAGGAACTGGTCATTGTTTCGACAAGGGGTTTAGATGAAGCTGCTGCAGGGGCCTTGTAGGCTTGGCGGGGTGGTGGATCCACGGCAGGGGCATCATAGACCGGGCGGCGTGGTGGATCCACAGCACGGACTTCATATGCCGGACGGCGTGGTGGATCCACAGCAGGGACTTCATATGCCGGACGGCGTGGTGGATCAACCAGAGTAGACGATGGCTTTCGGCTGTAATCGTAAGTGGTGCCGACGCTGCTCGTTGGCTTCGACAGATTCTCATTGGTGGAATATTGCTGCTCCACGAGATCAGCAACCAGAACCAGCTGCTCATCTTCCTCCTCGTCGGACTCTAGGACAATCAGGGAGTTAACCTCCAGGGTGTTTTCATGGTAGTTGGTGCGCTTCGGTGCTGCAGGTTCCTCTGCGATTGGTTCAGGCTTCTTAACCTCCTTCTTCTCAGAGGCCGTGGACGACGAGGTTGAGGTCCGTCTAGTCTGTATAACTGGAGCAGCAGTTGTGGTAGATGTGGCCTTCTTGACCACCGGCTCCTCAGGGCGGCGTCGTTCAGCCTCCTTTGCCTCGGCGGCTGCAATCGTGCGTCGTGCCTTGGTGGCTGGGGCAACCTTGTTGCCATCAAGTTTGTCCACTGGCGTGGAGGCAGCTGCGGGAGCTGCAGACGGCGCCAAGGTCTCGCGCCGGTTGCTCTTCTTCGGACTGGCTGCTGCCACAGGCGGCGCCTGGCCGCCAATTGAGGCGCGCAGACGCTTCACCAGCACCTTGCGGCTGCTGTCCGTCACCGGAATGTTTGGCAGCCCCTGGGCGAGCATCTTGGCCCGCAGCTCTGCATTGGACAGAGCATCCAATTCGTCCACGTCGGCCATTGTTTTTTTTAGTTCTTTTGCACTTTTCCCAATTTGTTGAAATTGAAATTGCGGCGTCGCTTTTTCGCGGTGTGCTGGTTAGTGATGGGCTCGACAAGCTATCGATAAGACTTTTGAAGTTTTACAACACTAAGCACAGTCACAGTTAACGGATTTTTATTTGGAAATAATTTATTGATTTATACCACAACGGTTGGGATAAATTTATATATATAGGTAGATACCTTTTTATTGTTTGATTTCTATGCTAAAAATCTGTTTTGGTGCCCTTGTTTCGCATTCACAATTTAAACTGTGACTTCAAAGTCGCAGTAATCGAATCGGTATAAGCGATAGTTGGCGAAAGTAAAGTCTATCGATAAGTGCCAGAAAATAAAAGAAAACAATTTGCCAAACCAAAAAAACATAAAATTTTAGCAACAACAAAGTATATAAATGCAGCTGTTTTGTTAAATATAATAAGCTGCAATTTACCAAAATCAATTAGGGCCGGAGGGGAGGTATTCTTTGAACAAGAGAACGCCCACACACCTCAACCACACAAGAGATTAATCATGGACATCTCAAAGGCACCAAATCCGCGGAAGCTTCAGCTTTGCCGCACATATTTCTTTGGTAAGAAACCAAAAATTGTGCGTAAATGATGAATCAGTACCAATTCCCTTTACCATAGCTGGGTTTGCTCTTCTGCCCTTCGTCTGGGCCATCAATGTGTGCTGGTTCTTCCAGGAGGCCTTCCGCAAGCCCCCATATCCGGAGCAGAAACAGATTAAGAGATGTAACTATGCTTCTTTGTTCCCTAGTTTATCCGCTAATATATTGGCTTTCCCACAGTTGTTATATATTCCGCGGTGGGGACATTATTCTGGCTGATAGTACTCACTGCTTGGATCGTCATATTCCAGACAAATCGCACAGCCTGGGGCGCCACAGCAGACTACATGAGCTTCATCATTCCCCTGGGCAGTGCTTAACCAAATAGCTTAGGAATAACTAACTTATGATATTAAAAAAGACTTAACTTTGCTTAAAAGACTAACGTAAAGTTTGTGTTTTTGAATGTCAAAGGAATATCAAAGGATATGACAAGATAACTGCTTTAATCAAGGACATATTGACAAAATAGATAAATATGTGGATGTTTAGACCTTTCATCTAATGGGATTACTAGGATATTGTATTATTTTTTAATTACATTCATGAAAAGAAAGGAAATAATGATTTTGTTAAGGTAATTGATAGGATTTTACCAGCAAAGCCTTTTCTGGTCCCAAAAAGACCATTATCTGGTGGTCCCTCCAGAATGTACATTAAGGGCCAAGTTCCAAGAAACCCCAAGAACAATTTATAAAGGCAATCATTGATTTAATTACATATTTTTTTATTCACATCTAAAGCTGTTTTTGTTTTTTTTATTATAATTTTTTCTGTATACTTTAAATATGTGTACTATATTTTGTTGAAATTTCTTAGCCGCTAATTATGTGTTTGTTTGTTTGTTCATATTCTTCCATATTTTCATATTTTGTATGCTTGATTTAGCTATAGTTAGCCGGTTTGTCGATTACATTCTTTGCTTAGATACAATTTCATTGTTTCGAATTCAATTCAATGCGCTGCTTCCCCTTGTTTGTTTGTTTGTGTTTGCTTGTGTAGCTCTCTAAAATACATTTATTTTGTATAAAACTCTGCTTGTACCATTCCATACATAAGCCTTGATGGTAATTTGTTAAACCCCGTTTAATTTAATTAATTGTTAATTGTTTCGTACGAGTGTGTGTTTTGTGGTATCCGTTTGAATCGAATGTTGTCTATGCTTTGATTACAAATTGCGTTGAGAATGTCGAAAAACCTAGCGACTCTAAGGAAAACACACGCTCTGATCTACACATGAAGACATAATTCAAATTGCTATTACGCGGTAATTTGCATTATACATTATATATATATGTGTGTATATATGATGCATTAATGTTTATAACATGAACTTGCAGCAGGCAGAAGGACCTGAATCGACGGGGAACTAATTTACAATACAAAAGACTCGCTTTAAGGTATTTATTTACAGTCAATACTTGGTTTTTATTTATAAATCCTAAAGAAGAATTGTTGGGGGGTGGGGAGAGGGAACAGGACTTAGGCTAAAGAACATTAAGTGCCATAAATCACGCGTGTAGAGTCTATGAAGCGGCTAGTGAACACTACTACACACCCACATTCACATAGATAATCGTTTAATTACACATACTTTCGTCGCTATATGCATATGGGTATAAATATTTAAAGTACAAAGTTAGTTGCTTAGAAACAATTTAAATTAGTGTGCGGCTGCTGGCCGAAAAATTCATCGTCCTCGAACTTAACACATAGAAACTACGGATACGAGTAGTACACACATGTAGATATATGTAGGTAAAGTTATATATATATATATATATATATATATATATATATATATATATTTATAAGATCGAATGGGCGGCGCGCCCAATTTGTCTTTTAGATGCAAATCTCGCGCAGCTCCATCCGCAACACAGATGGGGATAATTAATACATAGTCTAAATGCTACTCTTCTCGTACATCCTACATTCATAATTTAATCATATATATATAATCAGAATCACTTCGATTTCGATTTAGTTTAAACAATATCCATACAATTTCGTTTCCTTTCGTCAAATCTATTTATTTTTACAATAAGAAATTAATGCACTCTACTACGGTATTGGATTTGTTTGCTTCGCTTTGCTTTCTGCTCTATATCTGTTATCTGTTTTTTGTTCATGTTCGGTTTACGCCTCTCTCGTATGATATAAATATAAAATACACTTAGGAAAAAGTCGCTATAGGTATTGTAATGCTATATATATTTATATATGTATAGGTTGTATGTGGTAATAGTAGTGATACCTTAGGCTAGTTATAGTTAACCACGTTGAACGAAACATACAAAAAAATACTTATGCATAGAAATAGTCGATTCTGTGTGTCTGTCGTCTGTCTAGACTCTAGAGGCAGCCGAGACTGCGAAGGGTTCTGACGTTGGGAAGAGGTTGGCTTGCCACAGCCTTCTTCCTCCGCTCCACTCCTCGTCCGGGCCAGGCTAGTTGTTCTTCACGTTGTACGCCTTCTTCTCGTTGCTGCCATTCAGTGGTTCTCATTTCGACGGACCCGGCGGAAACGGATTTATCACAGCTACAGCAGCCGCCTGCTGGCTAGCCAAGACAGCAGCTGGGGAGAGATTAAGAGAAAGTCGGATTAGTACTTAAATCCCTACATTTTTCTTATATACAAGAGGGTTTGGGTGTATAAATTATCTATAACATTTTACTAACAGTTTTATGGAACTGTTGTCCTTCCTCCAAACAACAATAGGCATTGATCTATATACATTTTCATAATTTCTTTATTTCTATTATAAAATATAAACAATCTTAATCTTTGAAATGTTTAAAAGATTTATACACGCAAGGGGACTTGAGCTAATTGAAATACTAAGAACCCTGAGATCTGGCTTTGCTACTACTCACCTCCGTAGGGCGCCGGGTACATGGGATAGCCAAGGCCGACATGCGTATGGTGGTGCGTGTGCACATGGCGCTGCGGTGGCGGACTGCGCGAGTCGGCGGCACCTGCACCGCCTCCTGTCGCACCATTGCCGGCAGCACCTCCTACTCCGCCGCCGCCGCCGATGGCTCCATTGCCCGATGGTCCTTGCGGCGGCGGACCGCCGGCCATTGACTGCTTGTGGCCGTCCAGCGAAGAGCCTGTCGGCACTCCGCCATGTCCCTTGGGTCCGGACAGATCCGGCTTGCTGCCGGGCGCCGGGCCCATTGCTCCGGGTGGTGGCTGTAGGTTCAGCGGCACACCGCCCGCAGACCCAGGTGTCGAGCCGGGCTGCTGGCTTGGACCGCCGCCGCTGCCGGGGCCGAGGACACCGGAAACTGGTCCGGATCCTGGGCCGCTGCTCGTGGGTCCGCCGCCTGGTTGGGGTGGACCGATGATACTGGGACTGCTGACGCTCACCTTGACGGGGCCGCTGCCGCTGGTGGGCGACTTGAGGGCCCGTTCGCTGAGCTCATGGATCTTGTGGGTGGTATAGTACTGACTGGCCGCATGATGCAGGGCATCCAGGGCCTTGGTGCCCGTGTTGCGTGAGAGATCTTCGGGGGCGTGGTAGCGTGCAATGGGCAGGTGATACGGCGCCGTATTGTATGGTCCGGCCGCTGACATTAGCACGTTGCGGTACATGGGATGATTCGGATCGAAGCCGAAGGGTGTGGGCGAGATGTACGAGGGATGCAAAAAGTACTGTGACGTGGGCGGTGGTGGTGGACCCTGGGTTTCCATCGTTGGCTTCTGCCCCTCTTGCTTCACCTTCAGCGGTTGCTGCTCGTCATCGCCGCCTCCCTTTTGCTTTGGCGAATCCTTTGTCAAATTGGTGGCCTTGTTGTTGGCCGCCGCACTTGCAGCCTGCGACTGCTTCAGCTTTTGCTGCTGCTGCTGCTGTTGCTGCTGCTGTTGTTGTTGCTGCTGCTGCTGCTGCTGTTGTTGCTGCTGCTGCTGCTGCTGCTGGTGTTGCTGCTGCAGGTGCTGGTGGTGCTGCTGGATCGCCTGCTGTTGCTGCTGAGCAATTTGCATCTGCTGCTGTTGTTGCTGTTGCTGCTGCTGCTGCTGAGATTGCGGGTTGCCCATGCCGGGCTCATCCTTATGCATCATGCCGGGATGCGGCGGAAGACCACCAGGACCAGCACCACTGGCGGCACTCTGAGCTGCCGCAGCAGCAGCGGCAGCTGCCTGGTTTTGTCGTCCCGTGAACATGTAGTACCTGTTTTGGGGAGAGGAAATGTTAGTATTTACATTCGTAGATTTCTTTCGGTATAATTACCTTCTCAGCTCCTCATCACGCGCCTGTTGCACTGCTGCCAGGTTCATGGAGTGACGCTGATAGATGGCGGGATAAGCGCCCAGTGCCTGCAGATCCTTGGGATGCAGAGCGTGCGGCTGCTGGGGCTGTGGAGGCGGCGGCTGCTGTTGTTGGGGCTGCGGAGCCGGCTGCTGCTGCTGCGAAGGTGGTGGATGCTGCTGGCCCGGGTTCGAGTTGGGTTCCTGCTTAATTTCCTGCTTGGTCATTGGCTCTTGCTTGATAAGCTTATTGGCCAATAACTGAAAGGACAATTACCAATTATATTGGGGAATATAGAAAGGATTAGGCGTGGGCGACTCACCTGTTGCTGGGGCATGTGCTTGGGCTGATCGTGTGGACTGGGGCTCTCCTTGAGGCGCTCCTCCTTAATGCTGATACCTGACATTTGTTGCGCCTGTGAGCTAGGAGGCAGGCCGGGGTGTCCACCCAATTTGGCGGCCTCCTCTGACGCCACAATGGAGACTGGCCCAAAGTTGGGGTCCACGTTGTACGGATAAGCAGGCGGTATAAAGCTAAAAGTGGAGAGAAGGATTAGTAAGATGGAAAGGGAATGCAAATCAATTTATAAACTCACTTGAAGGGGTAAAAGTGGGGCATGCCCTTGCCCGGTCCAGGAACACCCAGACCTGCTGCTCCCAGCGCCGAGATGCCACCCAGGCCAGGTGGCAGAGCTCCTGGCGGCGGACCAGCCACTGCACTGAGGTTCACCGGCGGCGGCTGCTGCTGCTGCTGGGATCCCGGCTGCGAGGTGGGCGGTGCTCCGCTCTCCTTGCCATTGTTTTCCGGCCCCGACTGCTGGCCCTGCTGCTGATGCGGCGGTGGCTGCTGCTGACCCGGTTGCTGCTGTGGCTTCGTCATCAGGTCCAGTGGCGGGTCCTTGTTCTTTCCACTGCTGTAGTCCGCCAGGTGAGCAGCTACCGACTGCTGGCTGGGCGGGCCCAGCAAGTGACTCTGAGGCTGTGAGGTAGGCGGCGGGGCTCCCGGCTGCATCTGCTGCTGTTGGGTGAGAGCAGGCGGCAAGCCTGGGGGCTTGCCTGGCTCCGATTGCACCAAGTACTGCGGCTGTTGGGGCTGCTGTTGCGGCGGCGGAGGTCCCGTCTGCTGTGCCGGGTAGAACTGGTACATTCCCGGGACGTACATGTTGGGTGCCGGGGCTGGTGGAACGCCCACACCCACACCCACATCGGGTGGCTTCTTGCCCATCAACTCGATGTGCTTAACCGCTGCAGCTGCCTGACTGACAGACTTATCCAGCAGCTCCTGCTCGGCCACGGGCGTGGAGTCGTCGGAAATATCACTGTAGGCCGGACTCTGCACATCCTCGCGTGATACGCGCCCTTCAAAGTCCCCGGGACCGGGTGACTTTCGGTTCTTCTTTTGCTTGCTGCCTGCATTGCCTACTCCGACTCCCACTCCTACTCCCACCGAGCCGAAACCGGGCGAGGTCTTTATGCCAGCTTGCTGGGCGTAACTCGCTGGCGTCTGCTGCTGATCCTGGACGTGACTAGGCGGCCTTGGAGGCGACTGTTGCGTCTGTGGATTAACCGGAGGCTGGCCAGGCTGCTGTTGCTGCTGCTGTAGAGAAGCCGCCTCTGGTGGTCCAAACCGAAGGACTCCCGCTTTGACTAGGGGGGAGAAAGATATAGAAGTTAGTTATGGTTCAGTCATATTTTTACGAGGAATACTTACGTGCTCCTTGCTGCAGCAAGGCCTGCTGCTGCTCCGACAGCATGGCTGGCAAGCCACCCATTAGCTGTTGCTGGTGCTGCGACAGGGCCTGTCCCGAGATGCCAGCAGTGATGCTGCCACCGGCCACTGGTGCTTGCTGCTGCTGCTGCTGTTGCTGGTTGCTTGCAGCACCGCCTCCTGGGGTGAGCAACTGTTGCTGGTTTGGCGGCTGTTGCTGCTGTGTCGTGGTATTCGGACCTGCTGCAGCCAGTGGAAGATTACCAAGCGGCATTACTGACGTTGGTGACTGCTCGGAGGCACCAGATGGGGCCGTCGTGCAGATGGAAGGTGCCGCCGGTGGAGTTGCTGGGGAGGAACAGCTATTGCCGGCGAGGGTGCAGTCTCTGCTAAGGATGAGGTGTTGCTAGTGGCAATCGCAGGTGCTGATCCAGTCACTGCTGTCGTGGGCGGAGCACTGCCATTGGTAACGGGATTGGAAATGGAGGTGGGCGCAATTGAGGTGACTGCCACGGTTGGCGTCGCTGAGCCTGAGGCTGGCGCTGCTGTTGAAACTGCCGGAGCTCCAGATCCCGCTGCCACGCCCGGCGACGGCGGCGTTGCCGGCTCCTCAGGTGCCTGCATGGAGTCCTCGTCCATTGAACTGGCACCGCCGCCCGCTCCGTGGGCATGCGACTGGTGGTACCGCAGTCCATTGGCGTGCTTGTACTTCTTGCTGCAGTCCTGCTCGGGACACTCGAGCAGCACCGGGGAGATCGCGCAGGGCGAGGCAGTCTTACATTTCTTGGTGCTGATCTGCACATTGAGGCCGGTCACCGGATTGAGCAGGCTCTGCGGCTGCGTAGCCAGGCCACCGCCGCTGGCCGAGATGGGAATGCCACTGGCGTTCACCATGTTCACTCCGCCGGCACCAGCAATGCCACCACCAGACGCTCCTCCATCACCAGCGTCTCCGTTAAGCGGCGAGGGTGCTTCGTCCTTGGACTTACGCTTCTCGGGCCGTGGCGGCAAGAACGCCGTTGGTGACGTGCTAGGCGTGGCACCGCCGCCGCCGCCTCCATTGCCCGACGAACTGCTGTTGCTGTTGCTTGCCGCCGCATTGCCAGAGGCACTCCGTGTCGCACCGCGTCCCTTGGTGGCGCCATTGCGCAGCTTCGAGTGCACTTGGGCATGGGAGAAATAAATCTGCATGGATATAATCGAATTAGTTTGGATTGCATAAACTTAGGTAGGTCTCTGGGGTGGTACTAACCGAACTTCGGGTCTCGGTGAAGTTACTCAGGTCAGGCGTGAGGCCTGCACTGCGTCCGCGCTTGCCGCGTCCCTTTGGAGTACGAGAATCTAATTCTTCAGTTGGTGAATCACAGAATCTGCAAGGGAAGGAGAGTGCGTGTGGTTAGCAAAACATTCTAATCGAATTGTTCCATTAATTGAGATTATCATATATCGTCGATATATATAAGAAACTTTTCAAACTGCTCCCCAGCAAAAACAAGAGTGTAGAGCAGCGGATAAATTGAAATAAAAAAAATCAATATGCAACTTAATATTGAAAGGCATCTTTATTTATTTATCTAAGCTCTACACAATTGTTTTTGGGATCGGAAGCAGTTTGAAAAGCGTACGGATGGACTCAAGCCCCAGCCCCACCAACTCACCTTGGAGGAGCCCAGTCGTGTCGGGTGCAGTCGAGCAGGGTGCCCACGTAGGTCTTGCCCCGCCACGTCACATTGACCACGAGGACGCCGCCCTCGGTCTCGTGCCACACGATGCCCTCGAGGGTGACCGAGGTGCCCGGCTCGCACGGTCCCAGGCAGTCCGGTTCGGTGATGGTGCCCACCGAGGTACCGATGCAGATGTCCACCATCTCCTTGTTACCTCCTGCGGCGCCCGTTCCGCTGGCCGTACTGTTGCCAGCCTCATGCTTGGCTCTCTTGGCGGGTGGCGATTTGGTGTCCTCGTCGGCTCCCGTTCCTGCGCTGCCCGCCGGCACCGAGATCGTGTGGTGCATGGTGGCTGAGATCATGCCTGGTGCCATCAGCTTGGCCTGCGCCGCAGCCGCAGTCTTGCCATCAGCTCCACCGCCGCCGGATGAGCTGTTCTGGCCCTGATTCGAGTTGGCGCCACTCCCGCTGTAGCTATTGGAGGCGGCGGCCGCTGCGAGTTGGGCGGCAATGTGTGAGGAGATTTTAATGCTACCGGATGCATCCTTTCCTGGAGGTCCTGGAGCATTGGCAGCACCCCCGGATCCGCCGACACCGCCAGCACCACTGCTGGCATGTTGCGAGGCGGAAGAAGAGGCTGCGCCGGCGGCTGCCAGAAGGGAGGCAGCTGCTGGCACCACGGCCGAGGGTGAACCCGCCGAAGGTGAGCCAGCCGAGGGTGTGAAGACGCCCGGCGGTACTGCTGACATGGACGAGGATCCACTACTGTTTTGGCCAGCGCCGCCACTGGAGTTCGAGCTGCTGCCAGAGTTGGACATGTGGGCAGCGCGCCGGACGCAGGCGTGATGTGAGCAGGGGGCTCCAATCTCACCGTTGCATGAGCACGGGGATCCGCCAGTGCCCGCTCCCGAGCCCTTCTCCGGCGTATCCTTCTCACCGGCTGCCGAGGCCGCCGCCGCCGACTTGTCCACGGACATGCGATTGGAATGTGCGTTCTTGTCCTTGGTCTTCTCGCGCCGATGGCCAGAGCTGCCGCGTTTGGTGCCCTGTGGCGTGGATTGACTACCGCTGGAGGATCCCCCTCCGCTGGCATGACCACCGGCATTACTCTGGCTTCCTCCTCCGCCTCCGCCGCCACCACCACCGGACGAGGATGAGCCGCTGCCGGCGCTGGCGTTGTTCAGGTGCTTTTTGCTGCTCCCAGATGAGCTGCCGCTGCCGCTGGAGGAACTGCCGCTGCTGGCGTTGCTCGATGAATTGCTGCCCGCCAGGGAAGACGAGTTGGTGGAACTGGAACCGGAGCCGGAGCTGCCGTCCTCGTTGGCCGAGTTATTGGATCCGGCGCCCAGGGCTCCGTTCTGCTGCTGGTCGGTGGCCTTCACAATCTCGTGCTTGGCCTCCGAGCTCTTGGTGCCCGGCTTGGTGCGCTTGATCTTCATTTTGAGTCCTTTGTCGAGCGTGGCCTGGTGGTCTATGGACATCTTTGCACTCGATTTGCCACTGGAGGAGCTGGAGCTGCTGCCGCTACCGCTTCCGCTGTTGCCGCCTTGCGAACTCGGCGGCCCACCTGCGCTTGTGTTGTTGTTGCTCCCGCTGCCGCTGCTGCCTGTGCTGTTGCCGGAGCTGCTGCTGTTGTTGCTGCCTCCGATTCCGCTTCCACTTCCGCTGCTGTTGTTGTTGTTGTTGTTGTTGCTGTTGCTTGTGTTGTTGCCGCCGCTGCCGCTGCCCGTTTGCGAGGACATACCGCCAGCGGAGAATTTGGCGCCCTGCTGACCACTGCCAGCCGTTGTAGCTGCTCCTGCTCCCGATGGCGAGGATGACGAGGATACTAAGCTGCCGCCCTTGGAGAAGCCGGCAAATGTCGAGGATGACAATGTGCTGCCAGCTCCAGCTCCCGCTGCTCCGTTGTTTCCGTTGCCGTTACCGGCTCCGTTCCCGTTCCCGTTCCCGCTTCCACCTCCGCCCAATCCGCTGTGGGATTTCGAGCTGCTGCTGCTGCTGTTCAGTGGACTCGGGCTGTTCAGTTGAGCCACCAATGCGGACTTGTAGCCCTTGGAATTGCTGCTGCTGCTGCCGCCGCCGCTCGAGTTGGAGTGATGGTGGTGGTGGTGATGATGTTTCCCCGAGGAAGAGGACGATGAGGAGGACGAAGACGAAGATCCCTTGGCCACCGCGTTCGCACCACTGTTAGAGGTGGGACCGCTTGAGGAGGAGGCGTTGGCTCCACCACTGGCCACCGGCTGGCGTGTGAACTTAATTGTGGTTGGCGATGTGGCCGACAAATTGCTGTGCAATGTGGTCTTGTGCGATTTGTGCGATGACGATGACGATGAGCCAGACGCTGCCGCTGTCGCTGAGGATGACGAGGATGAAGCGCCGCCCTTGGATGTCGAGGATGATGAGGAGGAAGTGGATGAGCCTGTGGTTGCCTGCTTGGCATTTAGCGCGGTAGCCTGGTTGCCACCACCCGAAGAATGCGCCGCCGACTTCTCGATGTCCGCGTCTAGGTCGTCCAGCAGCTCTGGTATGCCGCCAATGTTCCACTCGTCCTCGTACTCGAAGTTCGTGTCCTTTGACTCGCTCGAGTTCGAGCTGCTCGACGAGGACAGCGACGACGATGAGGAGTTGCAAGCGGGGCTCTTACCCGATAGTTCTGCGAAGAGGGAGAGAGAGAGAGAGCAAAGCAAAAGAGAGAAATTACAAATGAGATCTGTTTTTTTTTTTGCTGCTTGCTGAGCAAGACTCCCCTTTAATAGGGGACATTGGCGTAAGCAGCAGGGGGTTTTATGGATTATACGTTACTGTAAATATTAATTTATATGGATAGAGCTTAATTACAGTGGTTCACTGTGACATATTTTTAAAAATGCTAAATTCGCGTACAAAATGTAATATAATATTTTTCATTATACAAAAAGATTACTCATAGCATTGGTGCGACTTAATCCTGTACTGGTCAGTTAAATGTGAAAACGACCCTTGTTTGCGGATTAGTTTAATGCGGTCGGCCTCCTTCGCGTAATTCCATTAATTTATTCAACAAAAAAATACCCCTCGAAAGTAAGCCTGACTGCGCCCATTGTTGGTGGGTAGTGAAAGAGAGGCGTGAGATTTGCCGTTACTTACTCGTGTTCGTGTGCTTCTTGATCGCACTAGAATTGTTGTTGTTGTTGTGGTTGCTCCTCTGATTATTCGCCGCTTGTGTTGTTGCCTTCGTTTTGTTATTGAAATTCAGCGCTTGATTCGCTGTTGTCGCCGCGTTTGCGTTTGTTGTTGCTGCTGCTGCTCCTGCTGTCGTTGCTGTTGTTGCCGTTGTTGTAGCTGTAGCTGCTCCTGCCGCACTTAAATTAGCTAACAATTTATTATTCTTAATATTGCTTTCCGTTGCTACGTTGCTGCTATTCAGGGCCACCTGCGATTGCAGAAAAAGACGAACAAATCCAACAAAATAAGTTGCAGTTGCATACATATGTATGTGTGTGTGTGTGTACGGAGATGTGAGTGAGTGAGTGCGTGCGCGATGGCGAGTGTGCGTGTGAAGAGTAAGGCAAGAAAACTCAAATACAAATTGTAATTTCTTCCGCCGCTTTCGCTTTACCTTTGCCAACTTCTTTTCCATTCCATAACCATATTTAGCTAATAATTATGCGCGTTTATAAAACATATTAAAACCGAACAAAACGAAAAAAAAAACAATAAATAACTAAAGCAACTAATATTTCTGGACTATTTTGCGCGAGCCTGCCTCGGCGTCCTTTTTCGTTTGGCAGATGAGACTGAAAAACCAACAAAAAAAAAAGAAGAAAAAGAGCCGGAGAGCCAGAGAGCAACCACCGAAAACGGCACACATAAACACACACACTCTCGAGCGGCTGGGAGACGACGTGAGGAAGAGCCAGAGAGCGGGAGAGCGGATGAGAGGCGGCAGCAGTGTTGCCAGGTTAGCTTATTATAAGCTAGTTCTAGCATATTTGAAACTAGAAAAGCTTGAAAAATTTCCATCTAGCTTATAGCTTGAAATATAGCTTATTTTAAAATTCATCTAGCATATTTTAGCTTTTTATGTATTTTTGACATCCACGGAATGTTTTTTACGAAAAATATGCTTTATAGCATGAAAATATTGGAGTTTGTTCTTTTTTTCCGATGGTTATGTGCATTTTATGTGATCGTGAACTTATTTCTAATCGAAAGTGTCATCGGAGATCGATTTGTTGGCTGAAGTGTTACCACCAATAATTTTGTTGTGTTGTGAAAATAGGTAAAGCGTGTCCTCAAAATGCCGAAAGTTATATATAAACAGATTTTTCGGGATGCTTGGCTCCAAAACAACGAATTTAAGTGCCAGGAGAAGGAACCAAAACATATTGTTGCTACTGTAAGTCGACAATATCAGCCAAAATTTTTTAAATCAGGCAGCATGCGGCATCGAAAAAGCACATTTTATCAATGAGATCAGTTGCTGAATCGCAAAAAATAAATTTTCCGGCTAAGTGTTGCAAGACTCAGGATCAGGAAGCAGCGCTTTGTTTGTTCATTGCCGAACACTCGGCGACGAACAACATGAAGGAATTGATGAAATATTAACTAATTTGTTTTAAGTGCTTACTTTAAGAACATATTTTTAAGACTTTCTTTAATAATAACATATTCATATAATATAATAATATATATTATATGTTTCGTGTTTTCTCATATTTGGGTGTAGCTTGTTTTTTCGCATTTTTTAAAAATTGTTTAGCTTATTCTAGCTTATTTTTTTTTTAAATCTAGCTTATATGGGCGCTCATCACCTGGCAACACTGGGCGGCAGAGAGACGAAGGCAAATAAACAAACGTGTTCAGTGTTGGACAACGGAAGACTTGTAAATTACTGAGAGCCTGTGACAACTTTAATTGTTCACTGATCTCGATTGTGTGTGTTCTTTATTTCACTTTAACTAATAAATCAGTTACCGCCACACGTTTAAGCTACTGTCCCAATAAAGCAATAACAAACAGAGTAGGGAATGTAGTTCACCGTCCAGCCCGTTATCGCCTCCTTCGCTTATCGCACACTGCAAAAGTCTAGTGGCCACTTGAGAAAGCAGCCGAAAAAAAGCGGACAACAAGAGGCGGCACTCGAGTGGCCCGAAATGATGACAATAAAATAATTACGCTCTTATCGCCCACTAAAAACGAGGTATCAGCACAGGGGGTGGCTGGCAAACGGGGGTGGTGGGCAGGATAAACAGTGTTGCCAACTATAAAACACCCCAACTAAGTCATAAACCCTAGGCAAGGGTGACTAAAAATAGCATATTAAAAACAATATATTAAAACTACATCTTGGTTCTTAATATTGTTTGGACTAAAATTAAAATATTACTGGGAATTTCGTATTCGTATAGGCTTTCTGAGGAATTATAGTCATACCCTTGCTGAGTATCTAATTTTAGTCAGAAGCTCGAAAAACAGTGAAGGAGTCATTTCCGACCCTACAAATCATATATGTATATTCTTGATCAGCATTAAAATCCTAATAAAAACTTGCATAGAACAACTTTCCGAATTGAAATTAATGCATTTTTGGATTAGTTATGACTATTTTAAACTTTGATTTGTTGAACAAATTGTTATATAAAAATTTACCATAAAAAGGAATAAAAATATTTTCAATTTACGATTCTATCCTACATTTCATTTGTAAACTGATTAGAAAAAACAGTAGTAATTGGTATCAGTTAAATAAATTTTAAATAAAGTGAATATAATAAACGAATCTCAAATGTTAATAAATATCTGAAAGTATTCATAATAGAGACTATAGAATTTTGTACTGGGCTCCCCTTAGCTCTATAATTAGACACTGGGGTATTTGATTATTACTTTCTTGTGATAGTTCACAGACTTTTTCAAAATAGTATCTGATACGATATATCTTTAGTATCTCTGTCTACAGCCTTTGGGGAAATGGAATGGGAATTGTTGGTGCTGACCAAGCTGACAACTCTGGTGACAAGTGGAGCGTACAGGGTCGACGTGGGTTGTTGTTAGATGGCAAAAGAGAAGGTGTGACAATCGCTTACCTTATTCGGGTGGTGGCTAGTGTTCGCCTCGTTACGTCTCATTGACTCCATGCAGACGCAAACGATCGGGCGGCCGCACTGCGCGGGCGGCCCAAAGTACTACCAGTAGTGCCTAGGAACGGGCAGCCGGCGGATACGGTGCTCCTGGTGCGGATGATGATGGAATTCCTATCGCGGATGCGGATGCAGAGGTCACTGCTGTGTGTCAATCCAAGGGTCTGCTGTTGCCTCGTATGGCTTGTCGAATTATCCAGGCAACAACGCAGGGAGACACAGGGCCTCGGCCCTCGGGCCAAATGGTTCATTTTCAAAACTGCAAATAGACACCAAGAGAGTAGAATTCGTGATTAGTATGATTTTAGTCGGGGATCCAGGGGATATACATATACTCGAAATTGTTGCTATAATATACGATCGAGTGCGGTGCTAGATTAGAGACTTGTCGCTCACTCTGTCAAGTGCTCAATTCAATTGGCCCCTTATCTGCGATCGCTCCAATCGGCGTGTTTGAGGTTAACTATAAAGCATGGAGGCACTGTGATTTACATGCACTCGTTTTGGATCATACTATATATACGAGCTTGGTGGGGATACGGGCACGTTAACGACCTGGTAATTAAGGCACTTTTGCACAATTTACTGATACCGATGATAACGATGAAACTGGGGGTCCGATCCACCTCTGTCCACCGATCTCAAGTGCCGCCAAATATGGAATATGATTTAAACATGTGCGTTTGCTGGACGGGCACAGTAGCAGTAGTCGTTACTCGATTGAATGATAAGATAACGTTGCCTCTGGGAATTTCTACGGTTCTACGAGTCTCCGGTTCCACGATTCCACGATTCTGCGATTCTCTACGAAACTACGACGTTGACGTCATTGTTTGTCAGCTAACTACTTAGCACTTATTTAATATTCATGCAAATGAACCATTAATGCCAAAAACAAATGCCCAGCACAGATGTCGGCTAATAGGATTAGCTTTATATAGTTGGTGAGCTTTATACAATGCCTATGGCGGTAATAACTCATGGGACACTGACAGAAAACCAAAGTATTCTATTGAAAATAATCATTGTTCTTATGATTTTATATTTAAAATGAATTTTTAGACAGTGGTACAATGATAATGACTCAGGGGATAATATAAAAAAACCATATATTATATTAAAAATCATCTTGTTTCTTAGAAAATTAATTTTTGAATGCAAAAAGTAAGTGTGAGAGTAATTGAAAGTATTCCAAAAATGACGCTTAAAATTCTCAAGTACGAATTCGGTCAAAAGATAGTTTATAAGCAAATAGTACTAATGGCTTGTCATCAGAAAAAGAAATCTTTGTGTGATCTTATTCTATTGACAACGAATTTGTTTATATTATACATATATGAATTGCATATTTTATAGTAAAAGCAAATCTTTATAATGAATGCAACCAATATTCTTTATGCCATATCATCATCATCTACAACCACACCCACATTTCCACAAAACTGCATGTTTGTAATAATGCCATCGTACAAAATTCCACCTTATTCGACAGGTTTTATGCTCTCTTTTGTCATTTAATTGATTGATTGGTTTGCATGAATCTCTGTTGATTCATTCAGTTTTTTTCTCCGCTGCTTCAACAATTACAACAATTAAATTTGCATGTGCTTAACATTTTATGATAATTAAGTGGCACAGACGGCAAAACACGCTCTTTTTTTTGTGAGTGTGTGTGGGCCGGGCGTTGGATTTATTTTATTTCATATTTGTTTTTGTTTGTGTCACCAGAGTTATGTTCGCTTTTTCATACTGAATACTGAAACTTAATTAATTGAGTTGTTGACTGTGCTCGGTTCGACAATAAAAGCTGCCCACACATTGCGTATTTTTACAGCCGTATTTAATCTCATCCAAATGCGAATTTTAAGCCCAGGCCCCAGAGAACAGACAAGCAGACAGCAGTTCCCATGGCAATCATCTTTTATTTGCCGCTGCTGATCCCCTTCACTCGGACACCATTTAATCCGCTATTACGCACTCTGCACACACAATCCAGCCATGTGGGTGGCAAGCCGAGTGTGGCAGTGGCATGTGGCATTAACGTGCCAACAAGGGGTTAAGCCCCGAAAAGAAAAAAGACAAAGAAAACAAGAAAAATAAATAAAAACCCATCCAGTGGATGCTTTTCACAGACGCCGCCACCGCCAAACACGAAGATTGAAACACACCATAATTTAGACAAATCAATAAATTACTAATAGCCCCCGCCGATACTTCCACTCCTGCTTCATTCGATCGACATTCCACTGAACCCGACCGAGGTCCCAAGTCAACTTGGAGCTGCAGACACAAAAGGCAAGGAGTGCGGCGGAGTGACCACAAAAGACAGCGCCGGTCATCGTTCAAGTCGTGTTTTAAATTGGGTTTGTGGCCAGCTCGATACTCCACTCCACTCCACTTCACTTTACTCTTCGATGTACGAATAAAAAGATACTTTCCTCAAGACATGGAGGGGAGAGGAGAGTGGCGGAGGGGAACTGACAGTGTCTGCTTGTTATGGCCAAAGTCCCTGTCCGCACGTACTAAACATCAGGCAGTAACCAACCCAGCAGAAACCTGGTCAACAGCAGCCATCAGTGATACCAAAATGCGGTATCAGAAGCTAGCTATATATTCATTTACTTTAATAGTTATAGTTTAAAATACTACATATTATATATTCCTTTACTTTCATAATTTAAGTTTATATTATTATGTATTATATATTCATTTACTTTAGTTTATATTATGTTCTTATTTAAATAAAATGAAATACAACTTCGAAAGCAATTTTTTGGACATATAGCAATGGGAAACTAGAACCAACTGTGAATTATTATGAATTACAGATCTTTTTCAGGCGGAATATAATATTTATAATTATCTATTTAACAAGGTTTTGTCATTTTTCTGTAAGTTCCTAATCACATAATATTTTATGGATCTTTTAAGCACTTTTTCGACCCGAAAATCCCATACATCCTAAATATTAATGTCCGTTTGACACATATAGTATAAGACATGCCTAGCAAACTTTATCTTCTTACCCCAACACACAAAAAAGGCCATATTACCAACTCTATTGTTACCAACTTGAGCGAGAAAACATGAAATGGCCAAGATGATGAAGAAGCCGAGAAGATGCAGGGCAAGAACAAGGGGCTATAGAGTTGAAGATTTACGGGGAACATCGTCGGAAACATTGGCCGCCGTTCAGATTGTTCAGATCGCTTGGATTCATCGCCATCATCATCATCGTCATCATTCTCATCATCTTGTTTTTTTTTTTTTTTTTGTTTCACAAGATTGTTTTTGTTGCTGTTGTTGTACAAGATTGATCCTCTGCGGTTGCTAAATGAACGCCTCCGGGGAGTTGCCAGTGCGCTTTTATTAGCGTTTTTTTTTTTTGATCCAGAATGGATCGTAACCGCAGCAGCAGCAGCCGCCAAGCGGAAAAAAATAAGAAATACTAAACTCCAAAAGCAGACACACACGCAGATACAGTTGTGATCAAGACAATAGTATAATTTACCAAATATTGGTAAAGAGTATTGAAAAACTATAAAACACAAAGCTATAAACGTATTAAAACTGTAATTAAATTTAGGTTTTATACCTTTTAAATGGTATGGTAATAATAAATACTGCTAACTTCCATTGAATATTAGTAATTCATCATCAAATTTAACAGGTCAAAAAGTATACATTTTCCCAAAAGCAAATCCGATAATTACTATACGGAAAAGACTCTATAGAGATTGTGATGCTATTCTTTTGTACCATATTGTTCTTAAAAAAAAAATACACAAAAAGATATCTATACAGAAATTGAGCTTTGCTAATAACTCCTCCCTCGCTACGTTCTGATTCGGCTCGAATCGCGATAATTTGATTTTCCCCAAGCAAAAAATAAGTAAAAAACAAAAAAAAACCTCATGAACAGAGAATGCAAACCGATTTGATTGCGTTGGCGGCGGCTGTTTAGGCTCAACACGCTCGCGGCAGCTCGGCGTTCAATTAAATTAAGTGCAGCGGATTCCCTTTTCGTTTTTCTTGCTTTTATTTTTCCCCCTCCTTGCTTTCCTTTATTATTATTTCTTTTCCCTATGTTTGTGGCATGCCACAACCACCACAAGAGATGCTGCTGGCTGCTCTCAAGTGGCGATCATGCCACTTAGGCAATGGGTTTGAAAACGAGCCTTGGCTGGGAAACACTCTTGAGTTTGAGACCCAAGACCCAGACGGAGGGAGTGGAGATCCCAATTCCAGGGGTAAGAGTAGACACATTCAATTGCTTTTCCAATATATTGATCACTCGAGATATGCTGTGTGTGTGTTGCTATAGAATTTATGACTTCATTCCCTCAACAGATCTTTTGTTTGTGTCACCAGCAATTTGCTGTCCTCAATTACGAGGGTTCCCTTTTGTAGATCTTGGCTCTAATGAGTTACAAACGAGCAGAAGAAGGGAAGAAATCGATTGCAATCGATCTTTGTCTTTTTTTAAACCCTTTAGAGATCACACAAGGGGAAGGAGGGACAATATATAGTTCACAATTATAAACTAACAAATGATATTATTAAAAATATATAGCGTGACGTTTTAAAATCATTCTGTAAATAATAATACCCTGATAATGGTCTAAACATGTTGACAACTTTCAGGTAATGCAATGAAAATTTGAGCTATATAAGCTACTAAATAATTTTCATTTGCTTAACCATTTGGACAAGATGTCATTTCAATTATTATTGTCGATTTCTGGAGGACTATTGGTCATCATTTTAATTGCAAATAACTGCAGTGCCAAGGTATGTAATCCCTATTTTTTTTGCACCTGGATATGAGTAAAGCCTGATTTGTGAATTTACAGCGCAAATGGGACTATGAACCCTTGACCATCAATGCATATTCCTCGGATGAGAGTATGTTGAAGATTGTTGCAAAGGTCGAAAGAGTTGCACGGGGCGAGTTTGCGGTTTCAGCAAAAGTTGATTATAATTACATTCCCGATGACACAACCATGGTAAGTTTCCATGTGAAACGGAGACCACGTTTTCCAGGATAATTTGAATACAAACATTTCCCAGGTGGAGGCAGTGGCCCACCGAAGCAGTTCCGGTGCTGAAAGTGACTACAAACTAATCCCCTTTAATATTCCGAAACAATCCTGGGAGGAGTTCATGAACACCCACTACAAGGATATGGTAATACCTAACCTGGGCGATTGCTCCAATCTGATCAAATTTGAGGGCAAGTACGATGGTAACTGGCCCAAGCAGGTGTACACTCTGGACAAGTGTGTGGCCAATAGCGATGGCTTTCCGGAAGTGGTGCCCGAGGGCTTCTACAGGATCAACTTCACTGTGACGGGTCCTGTGGACTGGGGATTTGTGTTAATCGTTAAGATTTCCACCAAACTAATGTGATCTCGACTTGAAATACTATCGTCTCCCTATCCAAAATGACATATTGCAATGATATATGGTAGCATGTAGAATTTAATAAATGCAGCATCAAAGAAATAACGATTTTAAAGGAAGACAAAGCAAAGGTTTCTTATAGTTTGTTTTTATAAAACTTGTTAGAAATATCTATTAAAAATTTTAAGCTAAGTATTAATTATTATTATCTATTTAATAAACAATCTATTTTCTGGAAAAATTTTTATATCCATGAAGGGTGTTATAATTTTAATAAGAAGTTTGGAACGCAGTGAAGGATACTATAAAGTATTTAAATTCTTAATCAGCTTCAGCATTGCTTCGATGTTTTTTAACATAAATATGTATTATTCATATTCTGTTTATTATTAATAATCTAAAAGCAATCTGGAAGAGTATACAAACTTCAGCGTGCCGAAGTTGGTTTCCTGTCAGTTGGTCGAGTCTATTTTCATACAAAAATGTTAAACCAAAAAATGTTAATAACATGTAATATCTATATCTTCCTCTCTAATATTTATTTTATTTAATCTTACATTGAAATCCGAAACTTGTTAGTATTAAAAATAATTGTTTAGCTGCTGATTAAACTAACTTATTAAAATATTATTATTTAAACACGATTAATCCGTGAGATTTGGCAAACCAAATACTTCCAGTTTAATGAATTTAAAATGCGATATAAATACAAGCAACCACCAAGCACTGTCACACATTGTATCGGAGGCAATTGAGGAAGATGATGTTCGCAATTGGAACCTGGATTCTGCTTTTTGCAATCTCTTTAACCGAGGCTGATGTAAGATATACCCAGGATAATAATAGTCCCATCTAATTGTTATTGTTTTTAGCGTAAATGGGATTACGAGCCTCTATCAATTGTCACCACCACTTCGGATCCCAACAAGTTGGGCATTGAAGGCAAAATCGAGCGTTTGGGGCGAGGAGATTTTGGATTAACAATCACCCTTGAGTGGAAATACGATGCTACTGAAGAAACAATGGTGGGTAATCGATAATGCATCCTATAACTGATCTTAAAAAAAAACTATGAACTATGTCACAGGTGGAGGCCGTTGCCTATCGCAGTAGTTCGGGGGAAGAGAGTGATTATAAGCTGTTGCCTTGGGTCATTCCAAAGCAGAGCTTCTACGAATACCTCGACACGCATTACAAGGATGTGGTGATCAAGAACTTGGGAAATTGCTCCAATCTTCCGCAATTCGAGGGAAAATTCCAGCCACCCTTTCCACAGGGCACCTACAAGCTCAATAAATGCAAGGTCGATGGTGAAGGACTGCCTGAAATTGCACCGCCCGGTTTCTACAAGATCATCTTTACTAAATCGGGACCCGATCAACCCACATGGGGGTTAACGGCTGTATTTAAGGTGACCAATAAATTGTTCTGAGATGTTTAAGTGTAAAAGATACATCTAAATGGGTTTGGATTGAATTTTAAATAAAGTATTTCATTTACACTTATATATGATGGTTATTCTTTCCTATATACTTTTTAAGTACGAATTTTACAAGGACATTTAAAATTGGCTGTTATAATTAACCAAACCTATCGGACACAAATAATGTTGACAATGCCACGCGTTAATATTTATATTACTAATTAATCATTTTTATATCCTTGCAGAAGTTTGCAACACAGTAAAGGAATCACCTCCGACCATATAAAGTATACATATACCGACCATATATATATAGGGTATATAAACTTCGTTACCTTCTCTTCTTGTTAATCCTATTTTGAACTTGTGTAAAACTAAATTCGCTAGTCAAGCATGTAAGCCATGATCTTTAAATTGTTATAAATCTGTAACATTGTTACACAATTATTACTTAATAATGTCATGCAACATGGCACTCTATAAACAAGTATAAATATCAAGCGACAGTTTTCATTAGCAATTAATTTTATAACTGACCAAATGAATTCACGCTACTTATTCGCCAGAGTCCTTTTGGGAGTCCTGCTGATGCACAGCTCTGAAGCAGCGGTATGTGAATTAAAGTTATTGTGATATATATTATATTTCTTAATTTTGAAAATAGCGCAAATGGGACTATGAACCAATGTCACTCTCAAGCACCACCTCGGATCCCATCCAGGTTTTAATTAGTTTGTGATATCTGCCGTTGCCATGTTTAATTATACAACGACCAAAGAGACCATGGTAAGTGGGACTTAATAAATTAATTAAATAATTTAAATTTAAATGAAATCCTTTACAGGTAGAGGCCCTTGTCTATAGAAGCACTTCGGGAGCCGAAGCTGATTACAAGCTCCTCCCATGGGCAGTTCCGAAGCAATCCTTTTATGACCACCTCAACACATACTACAAGGATGTGACCATGAGGGTTTTTAGGACCTGTTCAAATTTTCCATATTTCGAGGGTAAATTCCATCCACCGTTTCCAAAAATGACCTATGTTTCCGACAAATGTAGACTTGGAGATGACGATCGGTTGCCAGAGATTTGTCCTCCAGGATTCTACAAGATTGTGTTTAAGTGCTTTGGCGTAAACCAACCGTCATGGAGTTTTACAGCAGTTTTTAGATTGAAACCGAAACTTTTTTAGTTCATTAAGAACAATAGTTTAATCTTACATGTGTACATGAATGAACAGAACTATTTATGGCTCAAAATACCCTCTTTGGTATGAATCTGATTATTCCACAAAGTAATTATCCCTCCTATGTTAACAACTTGACAACTATTAAAATTTCAAAACATGCACACAGCAATAAATGTAGATTTTACATTCTAAAAAATATTTTAATAATAAGTTCGTGCAACACAGCAGCACTATAAACCAGTATAAATATCGAGCAACAGTATGAATCTAGTTTATAATAACCCTGAATATGTATTTTCGCCACTTTTTCGCCGGTGTCCTTTTGGAAGTCCTGCTGATAGCTCTGAAGCAGGGGTATGTGAAAAAATGTTTTATATTTCAGATAAATTTCATATTTTTCTATATTATATAGCGAAAATGGAACTATGAACCTAAATCGCTCACAAGCTACACTTCGGACCCTAGCAAAATAAAGATAGTGACCAAAATTAATCGCGTAAGACGAGGAGATTATGCAATATCTGCAAAAGTAGAATGGAAATACGCTGCAAATGCTTTGACCATGGTGAAAAAATCACTCAATTTTGAATTATAAGTAATTTTTAATAAAAATCTAAATCATTTCCAGGTGGAGGCAATTGTGTACAGAAGCTCATCGGGAGCTAAGGCCGATTACAAACTCCTGCCATGGTCAGTGCCAAGGCAGCCATTTTATGAGTACCTCGACAACTACTACAAGGATGTGGTCATGAAGATATTTAGCCACTGTTCCAATCTACCCCAATTCCAGGGCAAATTCCAACCACCTTGGCCATCCAAGACTTATGTGGTAGATAAATGCGTTTTTGATGATGCCGATGGATTGCCGGAAATTGCCCCACCCGGATTCTACAAGATCATTTTTAATTTTAGCGGACCACATCAGCCCTCATGGGGAATTGTTGCAGTTCTTAAAATAACCCCGAAATTGTTTTAAATTGTGATAAGAAATATTGAGGATCTAATGACTGTAATAATATTTATCTTTTTGAAATATAGTTTTGTTTAGAAAATTTCTATATTGATTAAATTAGTATCCAGTGACTGGCATAAACACACACAGCATAAAAATTTAAACTGCAAATTCGCAGGATCAATTTTCTATCGATTAATATTCTTTAAAACAATAAGTACTTAAGTATTCGAAAATTTCTAAACGATTTTTACTAGTTTTTGGCACGCTAAGCCATGATTAAATTTAAAATGGTTAATATATATAAGTTATAAAAACAAAGTAACAAGTTATACTACATCTAATAATGTCGTGCCCTTAACCAGGCACTAATTGCTATACCCACAGATCGAATGTAGAATATATTGTAGATATATTGTAGATATATTGTATGTTAAACATAGTTTAATTATAATGTCGTGCAGCACAACACCACTATAAATCAGTATAAATATCGAGCAACATTTGTCAATATCAATCTAGTTTATATTAACTCTCAAAATGTATTTTCCCAACTTTTCTGCCAAAGTCCTTTTGGGAGTCCTTCTGATTCACATCTCTGAAGCAGCGGTATGTGAGGAAATGTATTAAAATTTCAAAGTAATTTTATATTTTTATAATATTATAAAGCGGAAATGGGACTACGAACCTATATCTGTCACCGGCACCACCTCGGATCCCAATCTAATGAAGATTGTGACCAAAATTGATCGCATAGGACGAGGAGATTTTGCAGTATCTGGCACAATCGAATGGAATTACGCTACAGATGAATCGACCACGGTGAGAAAATCATTTAATTTACAATTTATATGTAATGTTTAATAAAAATCTAAATCTTTTTCCAGATAGAGGCCATAGCGTACAGAAGCTCTTCGGGAGCTGAAGCCGATTACAAACTCCTGCCATGGTCAATTCCAAAGCAACCATTTTATGAGTACCTCGACAACTACTATAAGGATGTGATAATGAAGATGTTTAGCCATTGTACCAATCTTCCACAATTTGAGGGTAAATTCCAACCACCTTGGCCATCCAAGACTTATGTGATAGATAAATGCGTACTTGGAGATGGCGATGGACTGCCAGAGGTGGTCCCTCCTGGATTCTACAAGATCGTTTTGAGTTTCAGCGGAACAGATCAGCCCTCATGGGGAGCTGTTGCAATTCTTAAAATAACACCGAAAATATATTAAATTGTGATGAGAAATATTAAAGACCCTTTTGAAAATATAGTTTGTTTAGTAAATATCTTTGTTTGAATATTAGAATTTAAAATCCTTAAGGTTATAATGTTATATTGTGCCTAAATATAACAGTTTTTAGAACTGGATGTATATTTTTAGTCCTCGGAATTTTGAATTCTGTATTTACTATAAATATTGGTATTTTTTCTGACGTTATATATACATAAGTCCTATGCTACAACATAATACTGACATATGAAATGGTCAATGAAACTAGTATAGATCTCAGGTTTAATTTTCTTGAAAACAACTACTTAGTTATTTATAAATTTCTAAACAATTTTAACTAGTTTTTGGCACGCTAATCCTTGATTTACATGTTTTGGCAAAATATTTAGCAATTTTAATAGATTATTATATAAGTTAAACAAACAAAGTATCGTCTAATAATGTCGTGTCATTAACCAGCATCTAATTGCTATATAAACCACCCACCGATCGTAACTTGAATCAAGTATAATTTTTGACAAATGTTTCAACGTTGCTCCCTGCTGCTTTTTTTCGCCAAACTTGGATTGGGACTTTTCCTAATTCCCAGCTGTAATGCAGGAGTATGTCAGCTTGCTCACAATTACAGTCAGGATATTTGGGACTTATTTGGATTAATTTCATTATTTATAACAGCGCAATTGGGATTACGAACCCATTTCCCTAAAATCCTTTACCTCCGATGAGAAGCTCCTGAAGATTCAGACAAAGGTGGACCGTCTGGGACGTGCCGATTTTGCATTCTCCATGACTTTGGATTGGAACTATGATGTGGATAACACCACCATGGTAGGTACTTTCCACCAAGCTATCTATTAATAATTATCCTAGTTTCTTTATCAGGTTGAAGGAGATGCTTATCACTGCACTTCGGGTGACGAAAGCGACCATAAACTGATGCCCTGGTCTGTGCCCCAGCAACCCTATGTCGACTACATCAATGGCTTCTACCGCGATGCATTCATCAAAAACGTGGGCCATTGCTCCAATTTGCCCAAATTCGATGAGGACTTTGTTCCTCCCTGGCCACGAGGTGTATACAAGCTGGACAAGTGTGTGGCCAATGGCGAGGGATTACCAGAAATCGCACCTGAAGGTTACTACAAAATTGTGTACAAAACCACCGGTGAAGTCGAATGGGGCTTCACCCTAATCATAAGGGTCACGCATAAGGTTATTTAATAATGATTTTTTGGTCCAAAAAGGATACACCTAAGAACTTGTAATTGTAAAGCATTTTACTGAAATATTTTTAGTTGAATATGATTTTTTTTTGCATGACAAGTGGCCATAATTGGTAAAATAAATTGATTATAATTCTAGTTTGTTTTTGTTGTATAATAAGTTAAGGAAAAGAAAACTATTCTTGTAGAATACATTTTTTTACAATATTGTCTCTATAAAATGTATATTTATTATTAGTTTGAATGTAATGTCTTATTAAATTTACATATTTCTTATACCCTTGCTGGGTATTATAATTTTAGTTACAAGCTTAAAATCACGTGAAAGAGTCATTTCCGACCCTATAAATCATATATATTCTTGATCAGCATTAAAAACCGATTCGATCTAGCCATGTCCGGCCAAAATCTATTTTTCTTGAAAATGTTCTAAAATTTGAAATTTTTATAAGGGGTTACATCATTAAAATTGTCAAAAATTGACAAAAATTTGAATTTTTCAAAATTTTAATTTGGGTATGTAGATTTATTAGCCTGATAAAAACTGAGATAGGACAGCTTACCGAATTAAAATTAATGCATTTTTGGATTAGTTATAACTATTTTAAACTTTGATTTGTTGCACAAATTGTCATATAAAAATATAAATAATACCGACTAAATAATGGTATTGTAGTTTTAGTCAGAAGCTTGTAACGCTGTGAAGGAGTCATTTTCGAACCTATAAATTATATATATTCTTGATCAGCATCAAAAGCTGAGTCGATCTAGACATGTCTGGTCAAAATCTATTTTTCTTGAAAATTTTACAAAATTTGAAATTTTTATAATGGGTTACATCATTAAAATTGTCAAAAATTTACAAAAATTTGGATTTTTTAAAATGTTAATTTGAGTATGCAGATTTATAAACCAAATAAAAACTTGCATAGAACAACCTTCCAAATTAAAATTAATGCTTTTTTGGCTGAGTAAAGAACTTTTTAAACTTTAATTAATCGAAAAAAGGGTATATAACCTTTTCCAACCCGAAGTTATTTTCCGTTCTTGTTCGTAGTTTAAATACAATGTTAAACCAACCTTACAAGAATAATTGAAATTGTTAGCTATATTTAACATACATTTATATACATTGATCATGTAGATTTGTCATGTTTACGGCTTTTTATAGACATGACATGATCGGATCCCATTGTTCTGGTTTAAAATGTTGTTAATATTGTTACACAAATGTTTAAATTAAAAACAATTTTGGCGTGATGAAAATTATATACCCATTACACTATATAAAAGATAACAAGCTGCAAAAATTCACAATTGAACTAGAAATGTATACCTTTAACTTGCATTCGCTTCTGTCTGTGCTAATTTTAGTCTACCTGTATAAGAATTGTGATGGAAAAGTAAGACTGAATGTCCTTTTTTAATCAAAATGATATCATTAAAAGATTCTGATATTATTTTTATAGAGAAATTGGGAATGGAAACCCCTATCGATAGTCGGAGAAACTACTAATCCAAGTGCCATGGACATGGATATGCGAATTGAGCGAGTTGGTCGGGGAGAATTCTTTTTCTCGGGCACATTTTTCTGGAATATCGATCTTGATGATAGTGTATTGGTAGGTAATTGATTAAAAATCTATCTAAACTCAAGAGTAATTAAGAAAACCTTTTGCAGATTAAGATGCAGATATTAAGAAGTCATTCCGGCAGCGAGGCTGATTACAAGCTAACTCCATGGTCCATTCCACAGCAGACCTTCATCGAGTACATTGATACCTTCTACAAGAATCTGCTGATAGCCAATTTGGGTAATTGTACCGACTTGCCCAAGTATGACTCCGGTTATGTACCGCCCTGGCCAAAGGCTACCTTTAATTTCACTCGATGCGGCATCAAAGGCGATGGATTGCCGGAAGTGTTGATAGACGGCTTCTATAGGGCAAAAGCCATCATCATTGCCCTGCCAACTGTTCAGCAAAATATTACTGTGACTGTTCGGGTTACGTTAAAATTGTTTTAAATTCTGAACAAATAAATCTGAGAATTTCAGCCCTTGGCTTTTACCTTTTCTTTTACTTTTGGGGCATTCCCAAGGTGCGAACCGAATTCCAGCTGCGACGACGAGATCGTCATAAAGTCCGCTTAAGTCAGGAGACCAACAAATGAGGCTGGACCTGGCCAGGTAGAAATCGCTTAGAGCCACAGCTGACGTTGGCCAATAATATTAAAATCCCCAGTCAAGCATGTAAGTCGTGATCTTTAAATTGTTATAAATCTATAACATTATTACACAATTATTACTTAATAATGTCATGCAACATGGCACTCTATAAGCAAGTATAAATATCAAGCGACAGTTTTCATTAGCAATTAATTTTATAACTGACCAAATGTATTCACGCTTCTTATTCGCCAGTCCTTTTGGGAGTCCTGCTGATGCACAGCTGTGAAGCAGCGGTATGTGAATTAAAGTTATTCTGATATATATTATATTTCCTAATTTTGAAAATAGCGCAAATGGGACTATGAACCAATGTCACTCTCAAGCACCACCTCGGATCCCAGCCAGGTTTTAATTAGTTTGTGATATCTGCCGTTGCCTTGTTTAATTATACAACGACCAAAGAGACCATGGTAAGTGGGACTTAATCAATTAATTAAATAATTTAAATTTAAATGAAATCCTTTACAGGTAGAGGCCCTTGTCTATAGAAGCACTTCGGGAGCCGAAGCTGATTACAAGCTCCTCCCATGGGCAGTTCCGAAGCAATCCTTTTATGACCACCTCAACACATACTACAAGGATGTGACCATGAGGGTTTTTAGGACCTGTTCAAATTTTCCATATTTCGAGGGTAAATTCCATCCACCGTTTCCAAAGATGACCTATGTGGCCGACCAATGTAGGCTTGGCGATGACGATCGGTTGCCAGAGATTTGTCCTCCAGGATTCTACAAGATTGTGTTTAAGTGCTTTGGCGTAAACCAACCGTCATGGAGTTTTACAGCAGTTTTTAGATTGAAACCGAAACTTTTTTAGTTCATTAAGAACAATAGTTTAATCTTACATGTGTACATGAATGAACAGAACTATTACATGGCTCAAAATACCCTCTTTGGCATGAATCTGATTATTCCACAAAGTAATTATCCCTCCTATGTTAACAACTTGACAATTATTAAAATTTCAAAACATGCACACAGCAATAAATGTAGATTTTACATTCTAAAAAATATTTTAATAATAATCTCGTGCAACACAGCAGCACTATAAACCAGTATAAATATCGAGCAACAGTTGTCAATATGAATCTAGTTTATAATAACCCTGAATATGTATTTTCGACACTTTTTCGTCGGTGTCCTTTTGGGAGTCCTGCTGATACACAGCTCTGAAGCAGGGGTATGTGAAAAAAAGTTTTATATTTCAGATAAATTTCATATTTTTCTATATTATATAGCGAAAATGGAACTATGAACCTAAATCGCTCACAAGCTACACTTCGGACCCTAGCAAAATAAAGATAGTGACCAAAATTAATCGCGTAAGACGAGGAGATTATGCAATATCTGCAAAAGTAGAATGGAAATACGCTGCGAATGCTTTGACCATGGTGAGAAAATCACTTAATTTTGAATTATAAATAATTTTTAATAAAAATTTAAATTATTTCCAGGTGGAGGCAATTGTGTACATTGTGGTAGATAAATCTAATGAAGATTGTGACCAAAATTGATCGCATAGGACGAGGAGATTTTGCAGTATCTGGCACAATCGAATGGAATTACGCTACAGATGAATCGACCACGGTGAGAAAATCGTCTAATTTACAATTTATATGTAATGTTTAATAAAAATCTAAATCTTTTTCCAGATAGAGGCCATAGCGTACAGAAGCTCTTCGGGAGCTGAAGCCGATTACAAACTCCTGCCATGGTCAATTCCAAAGCAACCGTTTTATGAGTACCTCGACAACTACTACAAGGATGTTTTAATGAAGATGTTTAGCCATTGTACCAATCTTCCACAATTTGAGGGTAAATTCCAACCACCTTGGCCATCCAAGACCTATGTGATAGATAAATGCGTACTTGGAGATGGCGATGGACTGCCAGAGGTGGTCCCTCCTGGATTCTACAAGATCGTTTTGAGTTTCAGCGGAACAGATCAGCCCTCATGGGGAGCTGTTGCAATTCTTAAAATAACACCGAAAATATATTAAATTGTGATGAGAAATATTAAAGACCCTTTTGAAAATATAGTTTGTTTAGTAAATATCTTTGTTTGAATATTGGAATTTAAAATCCTTAAGGTTATAATGTTATATTGTGCCTAAATATAACAGTTTTTAGAACTGGATATATATTTTTAGTCCTCGGAATTTTGAATTCTGTATTTACTATAAATATTGGTATTTTTTCTGACGTTATATATACATAAGTCCTATGCTACAACATAATACTGACATATGAAATGGTCAATGAAACTAGTATAGATCTCAGGTTTAATTTTCTTGAAAACAACTACTTAGTTATTTATAAATTTCTAAACAATTTTAACTAGTTTTTGGCACGCTAATCCTTGATTTACATGTTTTGGCAAAATATTTAGCAATTTTAATAGATTATTATATAAGTTAAACAAACAAAGTATCGTCTAATAATGTCGTGTCATTAACCAGCATCTAATTGCTATATAAACCACCCACCGATCGTAACTTGAATCAAGTATAATTTTTGACAAATGTTTCAACGTTGCTCCCTGCTGCTTTTTTTCGCCAAACTTGGATTGGGACTTTTCCTAATTCCCAGCTGTAATGCAGGAGTATGTCAGCTTGCTCACAATTACAGTCAGGATATTTGGGACTTATTTGGATTAATTTCATTATTTATAACAGCGCAATTGGGATTACGAACCCATTTCCCTAAAATCCTTTACCTCCGATGAGAAGCTCCTGAAGATTCAGACAAAGGTGGACCGTCTGGGACGTGCCGATTTTGCATTCTCCATGACTTTGGATTGGAACTATGATGTGGATAACACCACCATGGTAGGTACTTTCCACCAAGCTATCTATTAATAATTATCCTAGTTTCTTTATCAGGTTGAAGGAGATGCTTATCACTGCACTTCGGGTGACGAAAGCGACTATAAACTGATGCCCTGGTCTGTGCCCCAGCAACCCTATGTCGACTACATCAATGGCTTCTACCGAGATGCATTCATCAAAAACGTGGGCCATTGCTCCAATTTGCCCAAGTTCGATGAGGACTTTGTTCCTCCCTGGCCACGAGGAGTATACAAGCTGGACAAGTGTGTGGCCAATGGCGAGGGATTACCAGAAATCGCACCTGAAGGTTACTACAAAATTGTGTACAAAACCACCGGTGAAGTCGAATGGGGCTTCACCCTAATCATAAGGGTCACGCATAAGGTTATTTAATAATGATTTTTTGGTCCAAAAAGGATACACCTAAGAACTTGTAATTGTAAAGCATTTTACTGAAATATTTTTAGTTGAATATGATTTTTTTTTGCATGACAAGTGGCCATAATTGGTAAAATAAATTGATTATAATTCTAGTTTGTTTTTGTTGTATAATAAGTTAAGGAAAAGAAAACTATTCTTGTAGAATACATTTTTTTACAATATTGTCTCTATAAAATGTATATTTATTATTAGTTTGAATGTAATGTCTTATTAAAATTACATATTTCTTATACCCTTGCTGGGTATTATAATTTTAGTTACAAGCTTAAAACCATGTGAAAGAGTCATTTCCGACCCTATAAATCATATATATTCTTGATCAGCATTAAAAACCGATTCGATCGAGCGATGTCCGGCCAAAATCTATTTTTCTTGAAAATTTTCTAAAATTTGAAATTTTTATAAGGGGTTACATCATTAAAATTGTCAAAAATGAACAAAAATTTGGATTTTTTAAAATTGTAATTTGACTATGCAGATTTATAAACCTAATAAAAACTTGCATAGAACAACTTTCCGAGTTAAAATTAACGCTCTTTTGGCTGAGTAATGAACTTTTTAAACTTTAATTAATCGAAAAAAGGGTATATAAACTTTTCCATCCTGAAGTTATTTTCCGTTCTTGTTCGTAGTTTAAATACAATGTTAAACCAACCTTACAAGAATAATTAAAATTGTTAGCTTTATTTAACATACATTTATATACATTGAAGAGCTTGTAACTTTAGAAATAGATCATGTAGATTTGTCATGTTTACAGGCTTTTATAGACATGACATGATCGGATCCCATTGTTCTGGTTTAAAATGTTGTTAATATTTGTACACAAATGTTTAAATTAAAAACAATGTTGCCGTGACGAAAATTATATACCCAATCCACTATATAAAAGATGACAAGCTGCAAAAAAAATTCACAATTGAACTAGAAATGTATACCTTTAACTTGCATTCGCTTCTGTCTGTGCTGATTTTAGTCTTCCTGTATAAGAATTGTGATGGAAAAGTAAGACTGAATGTCCTTTTTTAATCAAAATGAGATCATTAAAAGATTCTGATATTATTTTTATAGAGAAATTGGGAATGCAAACCCCTATCGATAGTCGGCGAGACTACTAATCCAAGTGCCATGGACATGGATATGCGAATTGAGCGAGTTGGTCGGGGAGAATTCTTTTTCTCGGGCACATTTTTCTGGAATATCGATCTTGATGATAGTGTATTGGTAGGTAATTGATTAAAAATCTATCTAAAATCAAGAGTAATTAAGAAAACCTTTTGCAGGTTGAGATGCAGATATTAAGAAGTCATTCCGGCAGCGAGGCTGATTACAAGCTAACTCCATGGTCCATTCCCCAGCAGACCTTCATTGAGTACATTGATACCTTCTACAAGGATTTGCTGATAGCCAATTTGGGTGATTGTTCCGACATGCCCAGGTATGACTCCGGTTATGTACCGCCCTGGCCAAAGGCTACCTTTAATTTCACCCGATGCGGCATCAAAGGCGATGGATTGCCGGAAGTATTGATGAAGGGCTTCTATAAGGTAAAAGCCATCATCATTGCCCTGCCAACTGTTCAGCAAAATATTACTGTGACTGTTCGGGTTACGTTGAAAATGTTTTAAATTCTGAACAAATAAATCTGAGAATTTCAGCCCTTGGCTATTACCTTTTCTTTTGCTTTTGGGGCATTCCCAAGGTGCGAACCGAATTCCAGCTGCGACGACGAGATCGTCATAAAGTCCGCTTAAGTCAGGAGACCAACAAATGAGGCTGGACCTGGCCAGGTAGAAATCGCTTAGAGCCACAGCTGACGTTGGCCAAACAGGCAGCCAGGCAGGCAAGGCAAGGCAGTTGGCAGTTGGAGTGTGAAATTGGCAAGACATGTTTGGAAACTGTTGTGGTCAGAAAAAAAGTGTTGCAGAGAAAGAGGAACAGGGGCAGGGAACACCTGGGAAAAATTACACAAAGTTTTGCCTGCACAGCGAAAATGGAACTCTAAAATGTTACCATATCAGAAATATTAATCAAAAAAGATTTGATTTCTTTTTGACAGAAAAATTCTCACTAAAAAGTTTGTTATTAATTTATAATAAATATTTTTGAAATTGCTTATATTTTTCACTGTGCACTCTTTCCCCTCTCGTTTCTCCCCCTTTTGAAAATACATTTCAAGTTGCACTTCAAGTGAAAACTCTGAACAGTTGCCTCGGCTAATTTATTGCAAATTGTTAAAAGCTACAACAACGAAGGCGACGCTGCTGCTGGCTGTCAACTGATGACAGCCCCCAGTTTCCAACCCGCTAGCCCCTATATTTGTGACCGCTGCTGCTGCTGCTGTGTTTTCCCCCATTTTTAGTATGCTTTGGTGGCTGTCTGTGGGGGGAAAATGCAGTCTAGAGTGAACCAGATTTGCAAAGGAAATCAATGCAAGCACAGGATCCAGGATCCCAGTTTAAATGGGGAGTAATCCGAGTTTACAGCTCTCAATTAAAGCTTTTATGGCTGCGAATATAATCTCCCTTGTAGGAAATCCCACAATAGAAGTTTAATTATTATTTTTCTCATTAAATCAAATTTAATAGTTTATTATCTTTCATCGTTTTGATATAATATATCAGCTCAAAGCACATGATTGAGTTACGATCGAATGGATTAACTGAATGTTAAAATGTTTATTTTGCATTACAAACGAGATGGCAATCAAACAAGATTTTAAAAGCCAATTAATTTGCTGCAACGAAACTCGGCTCACCCTGATTAGCATATGGCAACAGCAGCAGCAGCAACAGCAGCAGCAGCAAGCGATTTGCATTTAGCCACCATCCATCTAACTCACACGATTCCCCAAGCAACATACCCCACACACACCTCCTCTGGAATCTCGCCGTGCCTGTCTCATCAGTTTTTGGCTTCAACATTTTGCGGCATTGACAATATCAAATTGTTATCTGGTATAAAATAATTACAATGTTTTAATGCAGACAAAATAGTTGTCGTCGGTCGATGGTTGTTAGTGTTGGTGTTTTTGGTGTTCCCATTGGTGTTGTTGGTGTTTTTGTTGGTGTTGCTGCCTGTCGCTCGATGGCTGCATTGATATCATCGTTGTTGTTGGCTGTTGCTGCCAAAGTTTAGCTGCCAATTTGAGTGCCAATAAAAGCGCGTGTGCGACAGCAAAGAGATTTCATTTTCAGCGAGCAGTGAACAGCAAACAGCTAACAAACTGACAGTGAACAACCATGGCTATATGGTTACCGTGGTCGGTGGTTGCTGCTGCTGGTGCGCTAATTAACCAAAAACGCAGCCAATTAGTTGAACTAACACGGAAAAGTTTTAGTTTCATGGAATTGAATGGGGAATGCATAATACACAGAGCGAAATCCTTAAATAATAACAGCTTTGGCATATTGTGAGATGTCCGAAGGTTTATGTGTTAATCAAGGGTAGAAGTAGAGGGATAACATTTCCAAATAAGATTTATAGGCGACCAAGGGTCTTATGGTATAACTAAGTAATTTAATTTTAAGTAACCCCAAATATAGCAAGAAAATTAAGCTTTTAACATATCACAACAGCTTGAAATGTAATTAAGTTAATAACTTAATTTTTGGTGATCATTTAGTTTCCTGACATTAGGTATATTTATCCTTTTTTCTCTATACATAATTCAGTGCAAAAATAAGCTCAAATGATGAACTATTTGTGGGTAATTTTGCAAATAAAGTTACTTGGCATTAGTTCAACAAATCAACAGAGAAAGTCAATTATTTAGATATCCAGAAATATCAACTTTGGTAGGTAATTATTAAACAATATATCCTATTTAAGTGAGTTGATGAAAGTTGATATAACTCATAAAATATCAAAGTTGCTCACAAAGTTTCCCCAAATAACCTGATCAATTATCTTGCGATTCTTCTTCTAACCCTAAACATTATTATCATCACATTTTAACGAGTTCACTGGAAACGATTGAAGTCAATTAAATCATAAAAAAAAAAACAAATGGAACTAGATATAAAATATAGCTGCTTTCAATACATTTCAAGTAAAACTGGTATTTTAAGGCACCTCATTTAATGGTTAGCATTTCCTTTGATTAAAATACAAGATATTCCCTTTAATTTCTCATCTTAAATTCAACTTGAATTTCATATCATTGATTGAAAATTTGCGAAAATGAACAGCATTGAAATGAGGCAGGCAAAAGGTTAAATTATGTCTGCATCCATTGAGATGCGGTTGTAATAAAACAAACCAGAGCGGAGAGATCCAACCAGAGGGGGATATAGAAGATAGTCAGTCAGAATGCAAAGCTTGTTAAAATTCATGTAATGCATTAACAGAGAACAACAACCACAAATTACACACGCACACACACTCAGAGGAGGCCAGAGTCAAAAGGCCGACGGGCTGCAATGAAAAGGCAATTAAAGCTCAGCAGGCTGAGAGGGGAGAGAGCAGGGTTTCCACCAGGGAAGGGTATAATGCTGTTGCCGCCGCTGCTGCTGCTGCTGCTGCTGCTGCTGCGGCTGCTGCTGCTGCTGCTGCTGCTGCCGTTGCAGCAATCAATTGCATGCTTCAATGGACAAATATACGAGCATAGACAAGTGGAGAGCCAACTCAGATAGACATGGCCGATATGGACGCCAAAGCAAATGCGTTCGCTTGGCTACAGTGAAGCTTGGATTAGTGGAGAAGGCACAACTATCAATCGATTTAAGCCGTATAGTCATACGGTTGGAAGGTATTCCATTTCTCTTAAGATATTCCTTAAGTGTATCTCTCAATACAAACTAAATGTAAACTCCTCCCTCCGCTTTGCTTGTACTTTGCTGGCACAGCTTAAAAGATCCTAAAATAGACCATTCACTCAACTAGTGTCAGAAATAAACCAAATGCATTAAATAACAATGTTTTAAGCCCATTACCCCACAGGTTTTCATTATTTTCCTTAAAGATTTTCCATTCCTTACAGTTGCACTTAGGCTCGTTTCACTGTATCTGCGTTTGTGCATCTGTGTATTGGCATCTGCGAGTCTGTGAGTTGTCCACGGCAGACACCCGTGGGACGGACGGCCAACGACTAGATGGACTCAACTAGATAAAAACCTTAGTTGGCTTGGCTTGGTAACCGGCCAAAAAGGTGGAGAAATAGAGGAACGGGGCTGCAAGGAGGTGGAGCGGCAACCAAGTTGGATTGGGCTGGGTGCTCAGAGTTGGGAGCTCCAACCGTCTGCATCTTCATTCCGCCTCCTTCGACGGCGGCAGTCAAGTGGAACGGCACAAAAACTTGTTAACTTTTTTCGCTACAAAAGGTCCGAAGAGTGCCAAGTTGAGTCAATCAACCTGGCAACCGGCTGCTCCGTCCTCCTCCTGCTCCTGCTCCTGCTCTGCACTTGGCAGCAATTAATCAAAAAGAGAGACCCCGTGGTACCGATGTACCGAAGTACCAAATCCAAATCCAACCCAGAGCTGCAGGCTTTATTATTGCAATCAACTCATTTACCTGAGCAAAAAACGTTTAATTATCACTTTTCGGGGCGGCAATTAGCAATTAGCAGACAAATTTTCATGCACCTGGCACGCCCCCCTTAGCAACAGGCTCCCATCTATCTTGCTTTACTCTTGAGGGGAACTCGCCCGAACCCATATATCTCTGCATATAGGGGACTAATCGCAGCCAGAAGCTGATGAGCGGAGGCGTAGATGGTGTCACAATTGGCCACCTCATCGGTTACATTATCAAAGTCATAGGACACGATCCGATAGCCATTAAGGCTTAGTTCCACACAATAGATGACCTGCTCCAGGGTGCGAATATTGATGTAGGCCACCCAGCGACTGTGCGGCAGGAACTCGGCCACGATCAAATGGTCCGCAAAGTCCTGGCACGTGTCCACCATCTGCTGGGCGTCACGATGGGCGTGAAAATCGCACTCATCTATCTGGACGAGAGCCATTTCTCGGTAGCTTCAGGGGCTCTAAAATTTTGACTGGACAAGCTAGGGGAACTGAATTGATATGGTCTTTACTTTACTGCCACTTTAACTTTTAAAAAAATTATTCAAATTCTTTGTTATAAATGATTGCAGGTATCAGTTTGAGGGTTTCCATAAAGCTCTATATATGGATTATAGAAAGGAAATTAAGAAATTAAATTACAGAACAACTTCAAGGTATTGTATACTTCTTACTATACTCCAAATTGAAGTGTATCCCGAAACTTTCAATCTGAGAAGTGTAGCATTATTCCCTTCTTGTTTTCAAGACATTTTTCCGTATTATGCATCCGCTTAACTCCGCCAGCTAAGCCCTTCTTTCCTTATCTACCTTGACTTCCTCAACTCGGGCACCGGGCTCAAGTGCTCCAGGTCCTCGGGTTCTTATATTCCACCGATGGATGGAACAAAAAGGACAAAAGGAAAGAGTCTCGGGCTCAGACTCATGACAATCGCACTGGGGAAAGAGGAGGGTATAGGGGTATAGGGTAGGGTGTCGGGGTTAAGGGATAGCCTGACTTGGTGTGATTTGGCAGCACATACACAGAGCTACAGCATCCCCACATTCACATTCACACTCACATTCACATTCACAATCACAATCACCGGCAGCGGCAGCATCTTTTCCCTTACTTTTTGCTGATGAAGTTGAACAATTTGAGATACGAGCAGTGAAGGAAGGTAACCGCACAGAGTGAGACGGGGCAAAGAGATGGGTTAGCGTTCCAATGGACGGAATGGACACCAAGGGACGGACAATGGACAGAGGACCGAGGACCGAGGACAGAGAACCGAGAACCCAGAACAGTGGAACGTTCATTTAGTTGCCCATGGCCATGGCAGGCAAACGTTTTCTGGCCCCGGCTACCAGGCAAAAATAAAAAATAAAATAAAAAGTTCCTGCTCTGCCAGCTCCATCTTCTGAATCTTTCCGCCAGCATCTCCTCCATTTGCTACCCGCTCCCATGACCCCCCTCAAAACAATCAAGATGCTAAAAATGAAAAACTTTTTTGCGACACACACGCAAATTTTTCTTCAATTTTCCTTTTACTGCCGCCTAAAACTTTGATGAATTATGCGACAGCTGCTGGGCGGGAAAAGTTACGGAAAATTTTTATTTTAGCACACAGAAAAATAGAAAAACTTTCAACATTAAATCAGAAAAGATAATATTGTGAAAGTAATTTAATGTTAATAATAACATTAGAGGGTAATGGTACAAAAAAGTTGAGAATTTAAGTACTCTTTCTCCTTTGGTTTGGTTATGTTTGTCTAAAAAAAATGATTTCTTATACATTTTTAAACTAATTAAAAGTAATACAAGTCCAAGGACCCTTTCCTACAAATATTTTGGAACTTGAAATAAAGAAACTAGGTTCTTTAAACACCCTTTTCTTTATAATCCTATAAAGCCTTTCTTTCAACAAGAATTTCGAATATTAATAGTATTAAATATTGAAAATTGTATGTTGGAATGTGGCATTTTCTCTCTGTATGCACAAAAGTTCAGTTTCAATTTATTTTAATTGCGCTGACAGTTTACGATCTCCTCCCCTTCGCATTCATCTACCTCGCACGACGGCAATCAAAAGGAATAAATGAGTGAACGGATGAGACGGCGGACAATGAGTTGGAAGGGAAGGTTTCGGCATCGGGAGTAAGTGCATGACCATAATCCCGACTTTAACTCTCTCACCCTTTCCCCTGCCCGGCCCCTGGGAGTGCACAGTAAGAAAGTATTCATATTTCTTGGGATTATTTCGAGGACAAGATGTGGCAAGGAGTCCTCTTCAGTGACTTTATGGGTATTACTTTTTAAAAACCTGCTCATAGAGCCGCCAATTCTTGAAGTTATAATTATGAAATATTATTATTAAAAAAGAATCATTTTTCTTTTAAGAAAATAAATATAAATACAAATTAATTTTTCCGGTGCACCTTTCTACTCCTACCTCACTCTGATATCCCTCGCCCACTACCCGAAACCTTTCTTACTCTGCCAGCAACAATTGTCGGAGATTTATGAACGCCCCTTTGCGCTTTAAATTGAATTCAATATTTTGCAAGCGCTGCAAGCCAAAACAACAACACCAACAACTACAACACCAACACCAACAACTACAACACCAACAACAACGATGCCAAATTGTAAACAACAAAGTTTTTTGTGTCCCGTTGACAGTTGCAGTTCTTTTTTTTTTGTGGCGATTGCACATTTCATGGCTTTCTTTTTTCGCGCTGAAATTGATTTTTTTCCTTTTACTCACATTATTTTTCCTCGCTTCGTTTTCACCTTACTATTATCAGTTGTGTTTATTTGTTCGAGCGAGGTGTGAAAGGCGTTTTGAGTGGGTGTGTGTATGTGCCGCCAATTGAGCTGTTTTCAGTTATTCGCTCGGCTTTGCACAGTTACCAGTCAGTTATTGCGGCTATAGGCCAACATTTAGAATTCTTACCTGAAACGAAAGAGAGAAGGGGAAAATGTGGAATTAGCGGAAAATTAAGGAGATTATTTCAGACAGGTTTCATGAACTGTGTGCATATTTAAGAGCTTGCTAAGTGGCTCTGGGATTTAAATTTATTAATTATGCGAGAGGACTTACACAGCGAGATGTCTTAAAAGATTAATAAGGCTTGTTAAAACGGCTTATTTGTGATTATTTTAAAACGGGATCGCGTATATTGGTTGCTGAATGCTTTCTGTATGACTTAAAAGACGGTTAAATATTATATTTAAAACTGATTAGTTTAGAGAATACTGAGTAGTTTCTTTTCTTATAATTTCCATTTTGTAATATTTATGCATATTTACGTAGTAGCTTCCTACCATTTAAGGCACAATTTGATTACTTAGTCCCCACTTTTGGCCCCTTTAAAGGTAGTTTTTATTAAGTTTCTATCTAAAATTTCTAGTATAGTATAGCAACAGCGGAGATCAAGAACAAAAATCACATCAGCAACATCAACAATACCTAAAACTTCAACAACACCAACATTAAATCTGGTAATATCAAAATCTAGAGTGGGCACAGAAGGAACATGAAGCATACCAGTAATACCACAACATTTAGAAAACCTGCAGCATCTCACAACCGCAACCAGAGCAACATTAGCAGCAGCAACACCAACAAGTACAACAACAAGCTCGCTTAGTCCCCAATGCAAACATTCAAAATGTTTTCGTTTGACTGAGCACAGAAACAACAACAACAACACCAACGACAACTGTCGACACGGTGAGATGGCTACGGTTGTTTCACCAGTTATTGTTGTTGTTGTTGCCATTTTCGCCGCCAGGGCGCTACATTTTGTTGTTGTTTCACTTCTCTTTCTTTCTTTAGTTGGTTGTTGTTGCTGTCGTATTTTTTCACATACAACTTGTTGTTGTTGTTGTTGTTGGTGTTGCCTCTTCTGCGCCAGTCAATTCAATTTGAAGCCATTTAGCATCAATTTGCAGTAATTTGACGTATAAATTATGTCAAATTGCCGAGCAGCTTGTCATTGGGTGTATTTCGTTGTTGTTGTTGTTGTTGCTGCCGCTTTTGTTGCTATTGATGTTGTTGTTATTGTTGTTGTTGTTGTTGCTGTTCTCACTCCGTCAGTTCGCTCGTTTTCGGTTCCTTTGTTGTTGCTTTTGCACCTTTTTTTTTTTTGTATTTTTACCCTCCGATTTTCGTTGTTATTGTGAGAGATTGTGTGTGCCCGCCAGGTAAAAACGAGAAGGTAAGATGGAAAGAGGAGTTCAGAGAGGGACCGGCATCATCATCAAGTCCCAGTTGCCAGTTAACCCTCCAAACCCTTCGTCCTTCCCTCTAAAAAAAGTGTATAAAACCATTGTGTGACTCGTTCGTTCCATCTCTTTTATACTACACAGCAAATAAAAAAGTGTTCTTTATGTGAAAAACAGGAACAGCAATCATATTGTAATTTATGGAAGCAAAAGGCCCTTGAATTTTTACTAGTTTAAGCTTTCTAAGTTCTTAGATGTTTAGATATTAAAATTTTAGGTTTCTAACTTTTATTTATTTTATCAAGATGCTCTATCTAAATGTAATGTTATTTTTAACTTAATAACATAGAAATCACATTCGGTTTTGATTCGTTTTTAAAAAGGTGACTAAATATGGAACGAACACATCTCAAACAAGAAAATCACATCTGGTATTTTTTTCAGTGTTTATTCCCCCCATTCCTCCATTTTTACTAAGGCACGTTCGGCAGTGTGTGAATTTTATTTTCGCTTGTCGACACAAAAGAATTTCACTTAATACTGAGGCCAACAGAGACACACACTTGGAAAAGGGTCCAGAGCAGAGGTTGAGCAGTAAAAAGTGCCTCATAAAGCCGATATATAAACTAATACCAGGAGGGGTAAGTAGACTTAAAGGGAGATGGGAGGGTGAAACGAGCAAAGGCTGAAAAAGAGGGGCAACAATTTTTACGCTTTTGTGAATGTTAACATTCAAAGATATCATCAAAAAATTCACTGGAAACGCTTGTACAATAAAAACCAAAATGATAAAAAACAAGAAAGGAAGCTAACTTCGGCACGCCGAAGTTTATATACCCTTGCAGATATAACTTCTATGACTTGGAATCTCAACAATATAAATTATATTTATTTGTGTTAAAAAACAATGAAGTAATACCTGCTTTCATTTCATTCACCTATACATATTATATTTGCAGTTTTACATTCGCAGATTTGCATTTTTCCTCTACATCTAACGATCGTTTGTATGGCACCTATATGATATAGTCGTCCGATTTTCATGAAATTTGACACAAAATTTAAGACTAATATAAATAGGCCATACCTCAAATTTGATGAGAAGCAGCTGAAAACTGAAAAAGTTATAAATTTAATTGTATTAATTTCTCGATCGTTCCTATGGGAGCTATATGATATAGTAGTACGATTTTCATAAAATTTTACGCAAAATTGTAGAGTATAGTAAAATTGCTATATCTCAAATTTGATCCAATTCTATTGAAAACTGAAAAAGTTAAAATTTTTTTTTTTTTAA